TAAAAAAGTAAATCAGAGCTAAAAAAGTGCAAAAACGCAGGCAAATTTGCCTGCGTTGGTCTACATATTAAGGGATAATCTTATAATAATTCTATATTGCCCAGCTATACTAAAGATCAACTAAAAATAAAATAAGTAATACATTTCAAATATACCAAGAACTAAAAAAAGAAGTTTTAAGAATTGTGCTGCTTTACAAAATGTATGCCTTAAAATCCCTACTCTGTAGAGTAAACCGGTATAGAGTTTGTATAATATTCAATAATAGTACTATAATGTATTAAAAGAGGATGTTTGATTTGGCAGAGCCAAGTATATGCTTTATTAAGATAAAGTGTATGCAAAAAGTAGCAGATACTTTTTACATTAGAATAAATGCTGCTATATATACTATTTACTAAATATGCCAAATATTCTATATGTTCTAAATATGCTGAATATTCTAAATATTCCAGATATCCCAAATGTGCTGAATATGCTAAATATGCTACCTATAGTAATGCACCTATAAACAAATATGTATTTGATCATCAATTTTGATCATAGTTTAATGATCTAATTTATGCTTATGATATTTCTTCTCTACTTAGTTTGTTCGTTCTACAAACTACATTAAACCTTGAAAGTTGTTTGTCTTTATAGTTCTAAGGTCAGTTAAGTTTAGTTTCTTAGTTTGGTATACTTGTTCCAATCTGTATACTTCGAATAACCAGTGAGTTCTTCTTGCAGCTATGTAATAGTATTTCATAAGTTTTTTTCGATGTTTGGTCTGTTGGTCTGGGCTTGCTTTGTCTAGAAGTCTCTCTAAATAGAAACTATAGACTAAGCTTCTGATACGGTTCTTGAATTTCGTATTTTTTAATACATGCCAGTAGGTTATTTCTACTTTTTCATCCAAAGTTTGTTTTTCATTGTAAGTTGAAGGCACAGTCAAGACCTCATGTGGGTTTATCTCCAATAGGTCGTTAATGATTTTATCTATTGTATGCGTCATCTTCATGCTTAAATTTAAGTTTTTTTTTTTTTTGATATAAAAGAAAAAAAATTTGTCTTCAATTTCTCTTTTTGTTATTTCTTTTTTATTCTCTCCCTTATTATATACTTCCTTCTTTTAACTTTCTTTTGCTTTTTTTGCTTTTTCTCTTTGTATGTTTTTGTTTTTGTTAAAATTTTTTTTTCTTCTTTATTCTCTCCTCTCCTTATTCAACGCCTCCTTCAGACTTCTTCTTTATTTCGTCATCTTCTTATACTAGATCATTAATCGAGCTTCTAGATATTTTTTTAATTGTGCTTTGTTGGTGGGAGACTTCAGAACTTTCCTATCCAATGTTCATAATTTATAAAACCCATTGATCAAAACATTATATACAAAAAATAGACCTTTCCATTTTTGGTTTAGATTGTGACTATGAGACAACTGGTGCACTGCATCGAACAATAAGTCCTTATTGTCTATCTGATATTTGGGTGTAATGTTAATACATCGATCATATTGTTCTTTTGTTTCACTTGTGCTGATCATATTTGTTTCAGTGCCTTATTTCATTGTTCCGGTATTTTGTTTAATAAATTGAAAGTTTTCTGAATTATAGTATCATTTAAAATATCAGGAATATTACTAGGGTGCAGAGGCAAATGGGCCTCCTTTCTATATACTAAAAAGAATAGTGTTATTCTTGTTGAACATTGCTTTGCAGTTTGATAAAAAAATAGAAACAGTTGAATAAATTGATCCTATTCAGTAATATTTTGTATTGTCTTTGCCAATGATTTGCATAGTATTTTGTTGTATCATTTAACAAGGCCGTTACTTTGTGGATAGTAGGGAGTTAACTGTTTGTGTATTATTTGAAATTTTTTTAACAGTGCTGTAATCAATTCATTTCTAAAGTGTATTCACGATCTGAAGCTAAGTATTGCAGGCACCCATGCCTGCAAATTATTTCTTCGTATATAAATTTAGTGGCCTCTATTGCATTATCTTTTTCAAGTACTCTTGCTTCGGACCATTTTGACATATAGTCAGTGGCCATAACTATATATCTTTTATTCTAGGGCATTATAGGCAATGGCCCTATAATGTTGATGCCAATCTGAAAAAATGGTGAGTCTACTTGTATCAGGTGCTGAGGTTCTTGGAGCTTGTTCCTTCTGCATTGTTGATATGAATTGTATATACATATATATTCTTTAATTTTTTCAAATATTTGGGGCCAAAAATAATACCTTCTTATTTTATCAAACATCGCTTTTTGACCTATGTGATCTCTGGTAGGATGATTGTATACAAGAAATAATATAGGCTCTATTTCAAATACTTGTATGACTTCAAACCAATTTTTTTTTCTCATCTATCTTTTCTGTATAACATGTTTTTTTTTACTTTGAAGAATTTAGATTTTGAGACTATTTTTAGTTGCTCTTGCTAGTTCAAGTTTGGTAGTAAATGTTGTTTCAGTATTTATTATCTTAGTTAATAGTAGTGTTTTGAGTCCTTTTTTTTTTTTTAATTGCTTGTTATTATTATTATTTGGGTGCCAGGACACCAGTAACCTGGGCTGTATTAGGTCCAGATTTTTTTTTCTTTTCATTTGTTGATTTTTTTTTTTTTTTGCCTCACTTATTAAAATGCAGAAAAGGGCGTCAGCGTTAGAGTGCTTTTGTCTAGGGCGAAGTTCAATACTATAATTATATGGCTGCAAGCAGAGAATTTAGTGAGCATATCAGCCTTTCAGTTTTGAAGTTTCTAACTACTTCAATGCTGAATGGCCAGTTATAACAGTAAATAGCCTATAGCCAAGGTAGTGGTGAAAATATTTGATCACCCAAATAACAGCGAGACACTTTTGTCTATTATAGAGTAGTTGAGTTCTGGCCTTGTGAGACTTCTTGATGTGTAAGTAACAACATATTCTTTACGATTGTCTCCGACTTGAGCCAGCATAGCACCTAAGCCTACTCCAGAGGTATCGGTATGCAGAAAAAATTGTCATTCAAAATCTGGGTAACGTAAGATTGGGGCAGAAATTAAATGTTATTTGAGAGTATCGAAAGATTGTTGTTAATCATTAGTCCAGTTGTATTGTTTATTTTTTTGTAGTAATTAATGCAGGAGTTTTGTAATTGTTGCAAAATTTTTAATAAATTTGCAGTAGTACAAAGATAAACCCAAAAATCCTTATAGTTGTCATATGTTGCAAAGTACTAGAAAATTTTGTACTTTGTTCACTTTGGCCTTGTCTGGTTGAATTTCATCTTTGCCAACTATGTGGTCTAAAAAATATAGGTTTTGTAAAAAAAATTAACACTTTTCTAAGTTCAATTTAAGACCTGCATTGCTAATTAATTGAAAAACTTGATTCAAGTAATTAATATGTTCTGAGAAGGTATGAAAGTAAATGTTAATATTGTCAAGATAAACTGTGATGAATTTACCAACAAAAGGATCTAAGATTTTATTTATTAGTCTCTGAAATGTCGCTGGGGTGTTACAAAGACTGAATGGCATGACCATAAACTTGAATATTCTATATTTCATGACAAATACAGTTTTTTCGCAGTCTTTTTTGTTTATTTGAACCTGCCAGTAGCTACTAGCAAGGTCCAAGCTACTAAACCATTACTAAAAGCTTCAAGAAAGTCATCAATGTGGAGAATGGATACGCATCTTTTTTCGTTACCTTGTTTAAGCACCTATAATCAATGCATATTCTCAATTTTTCATTTTTTTTTATCACCAACACTATAGGTGATGCCAATGGACTGAATGATTCTTTTATTAATCCCTTTTCCTTTAGTTACTCCAATTCTTCCTACACAAACTCTTATTCGTTTGGGGCCAATCGGTATGGTTGTTGCTTGATGGGTTCAGCTTCTTGAGTCTTGATCATGTGCTTCACAAGGTTTGTTCATTCAAGTTCTTCTAGTCTATTTGCAAATAATTGTTAAACATTTCTTTCACACTTTCTTTGTAATCTTCTTCAATAGTATTATTATCAACAATTAGATTCAACTATTCCTCAATTGTTAGTTTTTCTTCAACAGTAACCTTTTTTCTAGTTAGAATTTTTTCTATTACTGCCAAATATACAGCCAGGCTTTTAGTTTTCACTATTTTTTTACTTTTTCTTGTTTCTTTAGCACTTTCTTTATTAGATAGAACACAGTTGAACAAAAATCTTTCAAGTTCTTCAAGCTCTTCACTTTTGTATTCGAGCTCATCGAACAATTCATCAGCATCATCTTTATTGTGATCACCTGATTCATTATTTTTTGATATTTGTACTTTTTGCTTGCCTTTATCCATATATATTATAGGTACTTCAAACCTTTTTTCCAGGTATCTGATAACCAATTTTTGTTCATCGAAATCCAATATAGCTCGAGCCTTTTGGAACTAGTCAATTTCTAACAACAATGTTTCATCAACTGATTTCAAGACTTGTAGGGCTGTAGGTATTCTTATATTTAAAATATCAATATTAACTTTTAAGATTTTGTCTAAAGTACGTTCTCTTGCCTCTGTAGCAGTTATGACCACAGTTTTCGATTCTTTATTAATTTTAAGTCCCAATTGATCAGCTAGCCTTTTTGTGATGATACTGACTGCTGCGCCTGTATTCAATACTGCAACTACAGGATTATCGCTAATATGAACAAAGCATTTTGCAGCCATAGTATGTTGATTTACTTTGGGATCCACCAGGTTTGTTTTCTTAGAATTAGGGGGCTTTCTCATAACTTTTGCTAAGTTCTTACATTGATTTGGGTATTGTAAATGTTGTCCAACCATGGCATTTGCTTTCATTGTTAATAGATCATTGGCAACATTGTATAGTTTGACTTTATCAATAATCAACAGTCCCTTTTTTCTTCAAGGTTTACTTAGGTTTTTAGAGCTGAAAAAGATTATTTCAATATTATTTTTTGGAGCTATTGTTTCATTGATATTTATCAGGGATGGAGAGACTATTTGCTTTCTTTTTTGTTCTTGGTTATCATTGTTGTTCATTATATTTTTTGGTGGTCAACCTCTTCGTGGTTAATCTACATTGTACAATTCTTTTTTTCATACTTTGTTGCTGTAGATTTTCTTGGTTGTATCACAATAGTTTACCTTTTTAGATTGATTATTCTTGTTATAATATTCATTCTGCTGGTTTTGATTATTTTTAGGAAGAGTACAATTATGTGCAATATGGCCTTTCTTATTGTTGTTGAAACATACAATATCAGGGTTTCTTGGGTGTTAGTTGCTTTAATTCTTTTAATTGGGCTGATTATTATTATAATTATTATTATAATTATTATTTCTTTGATTCCAATTTTTTAACTATGCCACCAAGGTTACTATATTGGCGTAATTGATTGATATTTCATTCATTGCTTTTATTAGGGTTTTCATATCACTTTGTAGTGCTTGTTGGGCCATTTGTTGGCTATAATATTCTCTGACTTCAACCTTCTTTGCACAAGAAATTGCAGTATCAAGTGTTGTAGGGGTGGTTATGGTAATATATGTTGTCATTTTTCTATTTAAACTACCAAGAAACATATATACAAAATATGGATAGATAGCTTTCTACTAGTTTTGATGCAACGTAAAAGTTGTTTAAATTTTGTAGCATATGAGTTGATTTTTTTACCTGGTTTTTGTATTAGTGCATTCAGTTCTATTTGACAATGGTGGTGTTAGTTGGGTGTTGCAAAGAATGTTGACAGTAAGTGGAAAAAACTTTCATCCTGGTTATTTTTATCATTTTAGTATTTAATCTTTGTCTTGTTTTCTCAGTACCAATCTGCTAAATCACTAAGATATCTGGTGGTGATTGTGTTTCTTCTTTCATTACTCCAATTGTTTGTCTTCGCAGCTTGTTCGAATGCTTCGAGCTATTTAATTTGGTCTTCATCTTCTTTTCTATAAAACTTTTTAATTAATATAAGATTAAGTTCTTTTTTTTCAGGTACATTGGCTTTGATAATCCTTTTTGTTGCATCTTCAAATTGCAGGGCAAATTTATCCAATAATAGTTGTAGTTGTGCTAAATCCATTTTAACTTCCTTCTTGTCAGGTACTTTTGCTATTGTAGGATTTGTTTCTGTGTCAGGACAGTGAGTAGCAGTGATAGAGGTAATTGTTTCGATCCTTGTATGCTAAGACTGAAGGTGCTCTTTGTGCCTTGGTAATCATAGGGTTTTTTGTTCGCTCACTTTAAAAGTTATGTGATAAAAAAAAAAATTGTGTTTGTACAATTTTTGTGCTTTTTTAGCTGTAAGTTTTAAGATTTTGAAGTTTTTAGAAATAAGTGTGTTTGTGTTTACTGAAAAAAATTAAGAGGAAGACAAAATAAAAATTTATTTTTTTTGAGGTTTTTATATTTAATTTTTCAAAACTGATTTAGCTTATATATTAATTAATAATAATTGTCTTGAAGTTTGTTTGTAATAAGTTTGTTATTTGGATAATTTTTCTGGCTTATTATGTATATATTCTATTGTTTTGTTGTTTAAGTGTTGATCTCTATAACAGACTTTGTTATTATTATTTAATTTTTTTATTGTAGATCATTAAAGCTTATATTCGTTACTTTCCAGTTTGCAGTGATTTGTTTGCTGATTCTTTTTTTTTGATCTTTTCTTTCTTTTGTTAAAGCCATATTATGTAAGAGAAGTATTTAAAATTACTGCGCTCTTTTTTAATGCTCTGTTCTTTATTTAATCTAATTATCTTTTATTTCTTTATTAAGCTCTTGCTTTTTCTTTGGTCTCAATTTTTGACCTTCCTTTATATTCTGTCTTAGGCTTTTCTTTATAATTCTGACTTCGATTGATAGTTGTATCTGTTAGTCCTTGACTTCCAATAGTCTTATAGTCATTAGTCTTTTCTTTTAATAGTTTTTAGCTTCTTTGTATCTTTTAAGTGTATCTGTTTATTATTTTGTAGTCTACTTTCTTGTTTTCTAATGTCTTTCCCCAATATTTGTACATTTTTGATTTTCTTTATATTGGAAGAAGGTATGGACGAATCTCATAGTAATTCACCAAATGCGCTGCTTTACAAAATATATGCCTTAAAATCTCTACTCTGTAGAGTAAACTGGAATAGGGTTTGTGTAATATTCAATGATAGTTCTAAAATGTATCGAAAGAGGATATTCAATTTGGCAGAGCCAAATGTATACTTTATTAAGATAAAGTGTATGCAAAAAGTAGCAGATACTTTTTACATTAGAATAAATGCTGCTATATATACTATTTACTAAATGTGCCAAATGTTCTATATGTTCTAAATGTGCTGAATGTCCCAAATATCCCAGATACCCCAAATGTGCTGAATATACTAAATATGCTATCTATAGTAATGCGTCTATACAAACAAATATGCATTCGATCATTAATTTTAATCATAGTTTGACGATCTAATTTATGCTTATGACAGAATACAAAAAATAAAAAATAAAAATTATATGCTCACAAAAATGCAGAGCAATAAATATGTTTCTAGAATATACTAAGAGTAATATATTTACAAGAAAATAGAATGAATAATATATTTTAGATATATCAAGAACTATAAAAAGAAATTCTAAGAATATCAATAGGTGCTAGAAGAGAAAAAAAAGTTAGTTATGATATTTAAGAAGTTCATATTTAAATAAAAAAAAAAATTATACTTCTCTAAAAAAAAAAAATAAGAAAAAAAAAAGATAATACATCTACAAGAATGCAAAACAATAAATATGTTCTAGAATATATCAAAAGTAATGCATTTACAAGAAAATAAAACAAATAATATATTTTAAATATACCAAAAACTAAAAGAAGAAGTTCTAAAAACACAACTAATAGATGCCTAGAAGAGAAAAGAAAGTTAGTTATAATATTTAAGAAATTTATATTTAAATAAAAAAAAAATTATACTTTTTTAAAAAAAATAGAAAAAAAAAAAAGATAATGTGTTTACAAGAACAAATATATTTCCAGAATATACCAAGAGTAATGTATTCACAAGAAAATAAAACAAATAATATGTTCTTGATATACCAAAAACTAAAAAAAGTTCCAAGAATACCACTAATAGGTGCCCAGAAAAGAAAAAAAAATTATACTTCTTTAAAAAAAATAGGAAAAAAAAAAAAGATAATGCATTCACAAGAATACAGAACAATAAATACATTTTCAAAATACAGTATATCTAAAGTAATGCATTTACAAGAAAATAAAATAAATAATATGTTTTAGATATACCAGAAACTAAAAAAAAAGTTTTAAAAACACTACCAATAAGTGCTTTAAAGAGAAAAGAAAGTTATGATATTCAAGAAATCATGTTTAAATAAAAAAAATTATACTTCTCTAAAAAAAAATAGAAAGAAAAAAAAAAGATAATGCATTTACAAGAATACAGAATAACAAATATGTTTCTAGAATATATTAAGAGAAATGTATTCACAAAAAAATAGAATGAATAATATGTTTTAGATATACTAAAAACTAAAAGAAGTTTCAAGAACACCACTAATAGGTACCTAGAAGAAAAAAGAATATTAGTTATGACATTCAAAAAATTCATATTTAAGTAAAAAAAAAACTTTACTACAAATAACCAGTGATAATCATTATCACTTCTAGATATTTTTAAAGTTAGAATATGAATATTAAGAATTATTTTTTTTATATAATATAATATAAAACTAATATAAAGTTTCAAATTTAGTTTTTGGGAGGTTTTAATCAATTTTACTTAGAATATCTAATCCTGTTTACTTAGTATATTTTTGAGATATAGATACTCTGGTAATAGTTACTACCAGTTATTGTTAGTAATATTTAAAAAAAAATTATACTTCCCTAAAAAAAATAGGAAGAAAAAAAAAAGATAATATATCTACAAGAATATATAACAATAAATACATTTTCAAAATGAATATATCTAGAGTAATGCATTTACAAAAAAATAGAATAAATAATACATTTTAGATATACTAAAATTGAAAGAAAAAGTTCAAAAGCACTACCAGTAGGCAGTGTTGTATATAAAACAATTTTGAACATTTTTTTAATTAAAATTACTCAAAATTTTATTAAAATAATCTTATTTTAATTTTTTTATAAATAAATCTAGCATCTAAAAAAATATATAATTATATATTTTTTTAAATTACTTTGTTAATTATTTAAACTTAGAACATAGGCTTAGACAATTTGGACAATCTTAAACATTAGATATTTTACATAGTATAGACATGTTCTATATACAACACTGCCAGTAGATGCCCAGAAGAGAAAAGAATATTAGTTATAACATTCAAGAAACTCCAAAGCCAGATACAATAAAAAAGTATCTTCTTACTCTATTCAAATCCATTTTTTGATACTTTATTTAAATCTAATAAAATAAGATCTAAGCTTTTAATATAAATTTGAATTGTGCCAAGTTTATAAATTAATAATTATATATGAAGTTTAAATTAGATTTGAGATTATATATTACTTAATTTAGAAATTATAATTATCAAATATTTATTAAGTATTTGATCGTCAAATTTTTATTTGATTTTGGCAAGTACTAATTAAAATACCTTCAAGTGAACCTTCATAAATTAATGATTGTAAAGCTGCAAATGTATTATTTTTTTCTATTGGTAATTCTGTTATAAATAAAGAAACTTTATTCATTTGTTTAAAAATATTTTCTCTGGAATATCTTTTAAATTTGCTATAAACCTTTGGCTTTTCTTTTTTAATTTTTTTTTTGGTATTAAGATGATCTTTATAGCCAAAGACTTTTTATTAAATTATTAGCTTCATGATTACAGTTATTATAAGAGTATATCAAGCTACACATGCACTTTTGGTACCTAATTTAAGTAGTCTGCCCAAAGATTCTACACTATTTGCTATACTTATATCCCAACTACAGGGATACCTATTTAAACCTTCTAGTCATAACCACTATCTGTTACTAATCTAACTAAAATATAACTCACTATTCATATGCTAAATTTTGTAATACTTGTAGATTTTGTATTTACTTAAAACTTACTAACCATTTCTGACTAATCTATCTATAAGATAAACCTAACAGAGTAGTCCATATTTTACATATATTTTTACCTGCATGTTTGATAATATACTTTTCTAACTAGTACCTGTTGTGCTGCTGCTACCAAGTTTGTATCTCAAGCTATTTTTTAGAACACTGCTATAACCCAGTTCATATCTCATGCCACAACCTTTCTAATTAGTTTTTCCATTATGTACTTCTTGCTCTTATAAGGTTCACACAATTCCAGTACTCACATTTGGACTTTCTTCTTTTTTAGATTCTTTACTGGTCTCTTTCTTACTTCTAGCTAGCAACTTGAAAGAGTTGGTTTGTTTAGGCCTCATAGTTTCTCTTTTCTTGGTACATGCTTCTGGTATACATGTTCTTTTCTTCTGGTTTTGGCAACCCATGGTTTGGCTAGTGTGTCCTTCTACTTAAGGACCTGGTAGCTTGGTTCTCTAGTCTCAGTCTTTAGTTTCAAATTTAGTCTTTTGTAATACTATTAAAGATTATATTATCTCCCAACTTGGTACTTGCCAAACAGGTTTTTAGTTATTCCAGTTTCTTGGATTTATTGCACCAAAGCTTCTATTCTAAATAGTGTAATCAAAATTACAAATTAGAATCTAACTAATTATTAATAGCTATTAACCATATCATATAGCTATTTTTTAAAATTATCATCTATGGAATTTGAATCCTAGACCTGCTATTTGGGAGTGTAACAACTTTACTACTTCACTAAGTCACCACACTCTTTCAATCTTTGGCTTTTTTGAGTCTAATATATTAGGTATTTTTTATAGATTTTAAACTATTACTTATTATACTATATCGGATACATACATATATACATATATATATATATAATTTATTTATCACTAATTTGTAATAAATTTTTTGTGTAATACTGATCCCAGAATTTATTGAATTTACTTTCACTAGAGAATTTCTAAGAAATTTTGTCTTTATTTTTTTATTGCAGTATTGGTATTTTTGTCTGTTTGGAGTGTTTTTTAAAGTTATTTATTGGTGCAATTTCATCATTTTACTGTTATTTATATCATTGCTATAGCCTTTTTAAACTTACTTATTCTTTACTATATACTTATTTTATTATAATAATAAATTGGTTCTGTAAATATAAATTTTTTATATTAAATTACAATAATTTCAATACAACCTTAACCTCTTACTATACATAAGTTAGCTCTAAAAATTTTTTTAACAGAATTTTTATAGTAATTCATGATTGAAATCATGATAATTTCAACTCAATTATATTGTATTACTGAAGTAGTGTGTAAGTTTTGTATATAATTTTTTTTAGTAATTTACAATAGAATTAATCCAACTTTAACTATTAGAGTAGTAACTTATAATAAAGATTATTATTATTCTAATATAAACTAACTTAACTGTATATTGAATACTAGAATAAAAAATAAGTTTTGTATATAGCACTTATAATAGAATTATGATAAAATAACTATATGCTTTGCTATCTGAATAGTATATAAGTTTTATAATTAATTTTTTTTTTTAGTACCTCATAATTAAGCTCATAATATTTTTAATACAAACTAACTCAACTTTAACCACATGTTGTGTGTTGCTATAATAGTTTATAGGATTTTTTTTATGATATAAATCATGATACTTTAAATACAAACCAACTCAGCTATATACTGTAGATACTGAATAAAAAATAAGTATTATAACAGAATTTTTATAGTAACTCACAATGAAATCATAACAATTTTGAATGCAAATTAACTTAATTGCATATTTTGGTCACTAAAATGATATATAAGTTCTATAATAGATTTTATATTTTTTAGTTAGCAATTATAATAGTTCTATACACATTGCATATTGCTAGTATAGTTTGTAATAGGATTTTTTTATAGCAATTCATGATAGAAGTTAATAATAATTT